CATCGGTGCTCAGGCACCGTGTCCCGGCACGCCGGCGTCCCACGGAACGTGTGTACATAGGAATAGACGCTCTCAGGTGCTAAATCCATGCTGAGCAGCTTATCTGGGCTCGCAGGCATCAGGTACAAACAGCCCCAGCCTTTGGTGTCTCTGCTCTGTGTACTGTTACACACAGAAGGCACTGCACCGTGCCCTTCTTCCCCTTCAGCGCCGAGCACCAGGCCTGGCTGTGCCAGGGGCTGCACCTCTAATTCACCTGCCCAGACACACGGGGAGGGGCAGGGAGGGAATCACACACTGCTAAAAATCTCCCATGAGCTGGAGTCCCATTGCAGGCTACCAAAGGTTCCAGTATTTTGCCTTTCAGTGCTGTCAGTCTCCCCCCCCCCAGTAATCTGCAGGAGTGGAGGATTTTCAACACCTTGACAGATTAAACCTCAAGAGCAAACCTGTCACACAGGTCTTTGTCATGCAAACTTGAGGCCAAGTTCAATAACATCCTGTTACTCTTCTGCATTGCGGAAGCCTTGAAAAATTGATTTTCTGTTTTGCCACTGAGTTCAGTGGAACCAGGCTTTAGCCCTCCAAGGGAATTGTATTCCTGTAGATTGTAGCTGCTTCTGAAATCCTTAATTTCACATCCTTAAATAGTCAGACTTTGAGATAGATAGACCAGGTATGGGTGCAGACTTTGCTGGGTGTTGTTGACCGTTGCTGGGTTATTAACTCCCCTATTGGTCTGCAGTGCTTTTTTTCCCCCCCTTTGAAAATGCATTTCAGAGATTGAAAGGCCTGATCCAAAATGTACAGGAATAAATACAAGTCTGTGTATTGATCACCAGGAAAGGATTTTAAAGGGAGTTGGTCGTTGTTTACAGCAGGAATGTACTTTAAACAGAAACAAGAAATGTAATCTGTTAGGGCAACATTAATCCAGGGAAAACACTTTCTGGAGCGGCCAGAGCTTGTTAACACAGCAAACACCTAAGGCAGCACTGTGTCTTTAAGCTCTACTAATATTGAACAATAATAATTTTGGTGGAAGAAAATCTTCCCCTCTCTCCCTGAACAGAAACAAGACATATTATTGACTGCCATTGGGAAAGATGAATGCGCTGGCTCTCGGAGTCTATTAATATTTGATGCTGATGGATGTGAGCTGGCAGCTGAGTTATTAATGGGGTTTGGTTCCTTGGACCTCACCCACAATCCATAGGGGAGAATTAACCATAACACAGGGACTGGCTGCCCAAACCTCTCGGGGTTCTGGGAAGGGCTGTAACAGCAACAGGGAGTGTTTCTGAAGTACTTACAGGCATGGAATGTCACAGGTGGGGCTGTTTACATCCCTGCCACCATTCATTCTGATTTAAAGGGGACTTTTTGGTCACCTTTAGGGTCACAGGATTGAGGTGTTCCCATCAGGTCTGGATTTCAAACAGAAGGAGGCTCACTGAGCAGCTGTGGATTTGTGGGACACCCCATCCTTGGTGGCCCCTCCCACACTGGAAGGTGTGTGATGCAGAGCAGGGGGCAGGAATGAGCTGCTCCACACCCAGCAGGGCATTTCCCAGAGCTGGCCCTGACCCCACGTCCAGTTGTTTTCCATCATTTATGTTAGATTTGACCCCTAAAATTAGAAATAATACATTGGATAGATGTCAGGGGGAAGTTTTGATTGGCTGGGCCTTCTAAGTGAAAATGATGAAGAAAATGAAGCGCTTTGGAAAGTTTGTGATGTCCATATGGGTCATTCTGACTTGGATAATAGAGATGTAAAATATCAAGTTATTTATAGCTCAGTTTCTTAACACAACTTTAACATTTTCAGGGGTATATGTTTGATTGAATTAGCTACTCCTTCCTAGCAGGGATACCACATCCAGGCATTTACTGTCCTCATTAACCTCCCGATCTTAATAGAAAAAAAGAGAATAATCAACATAAGGAGCACAGCTGTTGATTAATTTTACTAAATAGGATAGAAATATAAAGTGCCATATTGCAAGAGTGAAGATTCAATACAACACATTTGAAATCAGTTTATTAGAATATATAACTCATTAACAGCTGGATAGACTTGTACTGCAGCATTATCCACTTGGGCAGGTGGTGAGAGGGAGGGAGAATTTACATATCTTTAACAGTACCTGAATGCATTTAATTTCCGAGGTCATTCTCCCAAATCAAGTTCAAAATGTTAATAACAGGGTGTGCATTTATAATTAATAAAATCTTAGAGCCAGTGCTATAGTTCAAGTGCATTTTCCTCTTATGTAATTAAGAAGTTAAGTGTATTTGGCAGTTGTCACTCAGAGAGCTCTGAAGGTCTCGCTTGTCAAACCTGGGGATAGAAATCTCATTAAGCCAGGTATTTTTTTTCAGTTTAGGTTTGTTTGCAAAGTAAGTGTGTAGGTGGTGGGCAGCCAGAATGCCCAGCCTCTGTTAGCCCATAAAATAAAGCACATTAAAGTAAATGCCAGAACTCAAAGCCATGGTGAATAAAGATGAAACAGCCTGATGTTCAGCTTGTAAGAATCACAGAATCATCTTTAAAGTTGGAAAAGACCTCTAAGACCACCAAGTCCAACTGTCAGCCCAGCACCACCACCGTGTTTACCACTAAACCATGTCCACAAGTGCCACATCCATATTTTTTTTGAAGACTTCCAAGGATGGTGACTCCACCACTGCCCTGGGCAGCCTGTTCCACCCCTTTCTGAAGAAATTGTTCCTAACATCTAATCTAAACCTCCCCTGGTGCAACTTGAGGCCACTTCCTCACCTTATTGTCCTGTCACTCACCTCACTGCAACCTCCTTTCAGGGACTTATATCCCTTTGCTTTGGGATGCCCAAAGTGTGTTTGACTACGGAAAACCGCAGAATCCACCCCCGTTGGGCCCTGGGCCAGGAAGAACTGACCCCCAACAGGAGCTGCTCTGCAGTCACAGAACATCAGCTGAGGAATGGAAATCCAGCAGGTGGATTTCCACCTGCTGCCTCCACCCCTGGCCCAGGTGGTGTTTTAGAGGCATCTGGATGTGGCACTTGGGGACACGGTTTAGGGGTGATTGATGGTTGGACTCGGTGATCTTGACGGTCTCTTCCAGTCTTGGTGAGTCTGTGAGTCTCTGGTTGGTTAATCTGCTTCCCAAGGGGATATTTTAGCTCCGCATCACTCTGCTCCACTTTCCTTTTCAAAGGAATTTTCTTCTCCTTCTGGATCACTAGTTCAAATCCAGATAAGGTCAGTTGTCATAGAAATTATTGGCAGTACCAGCAGCCCTGTGTCGGACGCGGAATGAGTTGGGAGTTTCATTCACACATAGTCTGGGTCCCTAAGTGGCACTAATTGGCTGTCTAATTGTCACACACAGGAGAAAGGCAGAGGATTGATTAGGCGTGGAGGCTGAGTGCCCCTCTGCCAGCCCGGCTTCCTGGAGCTCATTCCATGGGCATGCTGGCAGGGTAATGAGGGGCAGCGTGCTTTGGATTCGCTGGCTGTCGAGGCAGCATCTTTTCCTGCCAGGCCTTTTCAGGGGAGCTTGTTTTATTCCACCAAGGTCAAAGATAGCATCTTTTACAAACGCTGCCTTCGCTCAAAAGTCAGGGGCTTGCAGGATTTGCTTGTGAGCAGCACATATTTAACCATTTCCTTTGCTTCCCCCAAACCCAAAGTTTTTTGTAGAAAATAAGATGAGTCACAGTGGTGTGAGGCAGAACTGCTATAGAAAGCATAGTGGGGTTTATGGTGCTCAGAAATCTGTCCATATTCCCTTTTGCTGTCTCAGTGTCTGATGTGTGATGTACAGGCTCCTGGAGGTAACTGGCCATGACACAGGGAACCTGACGTGGTGTGCATTTATCTCCTGATAAATGGATCCTCCTGTCAAACAGCAAAGCCTCTCACCTGCAAAAACACATTTTGACCAATGTCTTTTCCCCTGAGCTATGGTATAGGTCACACCGTGCAATGTAGGTGCTTTTTAACCTGGAGTAGGTTCTCTTTCTCTGACATAGAACTAAGTCATTAAAGAGTGACTCACGGAAGTAGTAAATTTAAGAGCTAGTTTGTGATGTGAAAGGCAGGACTACACAAAGAATCAAAAATACCTTGTATATGCTAATGTGTGTAGGCCCAACCATGGCACTTAGTAAGTTTATTAAGGCTTAAACCTCAGTTAGTGAGGTTAAACCAAATTCCTTTAAACCTTATCGTGCTCATATTTTAATTCCCTTGTTGTATCAGACGAACAGTATTGGTAAGAATTATGTCTCTCAACCCCACAAGCTGATCAGTGCATACAGTGTTACCAGAATGCACTGCTGAAATATGCTATTTCTGTAAAATGTATTTCCTCTCCTTTCCCTCCCTTTCCCCACACCTGGAGCAGAAACAGGACAGGGCCCATGTGTTCTGCTGTGTGCCTCTTCTCTCTGACATACATATCCCTCCTGTTCACCCTTCTTCCTAAAGTCCCAATCTCATGCAAATTAATTGAAAACAAGTGCAGGTACCAGCTATGCATCAAAAAGCTCTGATGCACCTGCCATGTCGTTTTCCTCTCTGCCAATCTGTGCAAGATGAGCATGCACGAGATCCTTTAGCTTTTTAACAACCCTGTTCTTGGAAGATATTTCCCCAGAAATGCAGAGCAATCTTTGCACGGTTTCAGACTGCATATTTTGTGATTAGTGTTTCGTAAGTGATGTTTTGCTTAATGATCTAACATCTGTTCTAGGAGGTTTGTTTTTGTAACTTCCCCACCTCCCGCTGAACGAATGCCAGAAACTTGTCCCTTTCCTCCAAGTCAATCAAAGCACTAATTGCATCATAATCAGGGGAAGCAGCAGTGACTGCTCAAGTGCTGAAGACTCAGCAATCAACTCACAACTCTCTGCTCTCTGTGTGGAGAGAGAAAGGCTCCCTGTGCCGAGATGGGAATTTCCTGCAATCCCGATTTCTTGAGCTGACTCTGGGGGTTTTTGGGTTTGCAGGGAGAGGACTGCACCATCACCTGCATGGCAGGAACCTACGGAACCAATTGCTCCTCAGTTTGTAACTGCAAGAACGACGGTGCCTGTTCCCCTGTGGACGGGCTGTGCTACTGCAAAGAAGGTAAACAAAATTAGGATTTAGCCATTGTTGGCAATTTGGCATCAGTGCTTCTCCTTTTTGAAGTGGCACAGCTGTGCAGTCAGTAACCCCACTATTTTCTTGTCTGCCCAAGTATCCAAGCTCAACAGGGGCTTGACTGGATGTTTTGTTTCTGCCTTGAGCAGGGGCCAGACTTCCCTCCTCTGCTGCAGGAACAGGTCACAGAACTAAGTGTGTTGGCAGAGCCACAGCTCCTCTCCAGAGGAAATGCAAAGCAATGCCCAGATCATTGGGATGGTTTTCTTTATCCCTTTGCTGCCCTGTTTCTCCAGGATTGCAAAGCCCCTGTTCTCCCTCCCTGCCTGGAGTGGCACACTGGGCACAGGGGCAGAGGCAGCTTCCTGCCTGTCTTTCCTCCGTCCCATTGCTCCGTTCTGTGCCTGGCCATGTTTATCCTCACCAGACCTGGCCTGACCTGCAGACTGTCTGCCAATCTCAACCTTGGGCTGGCCCCAGTCCTGCTGATCTGGGCTCCTGGCTGACCCCAGCTGCCAGCCCCACGCTGGGACTGTGGGGTGGGCCCTGGCTCTCTGCCCTTGCTGCCGCCCTCAGCTGCCAATCCTCCCTGTGCCCTGACACTGGGACACCCCAGCCATGTGCAGGTGTCCTCTGTCACCTGAGCCTGCAAGGGGTCTTTTATCTGGGGAAACAAGAAGTCTTACCTGCTCCAGAGTCTCTCTGCAAGACTGATATCTTTTCTTCCCCCATATGTCCATAATTCCCTCATGTGCTTGGTGGTGAGCATAACCCATGTATCCATCCAGCAATCCCCTGAGAAATCTTGCACTGCTCCACAGCAGTGTCTCTTATGTTCCCCCAGAATCCCAACATGAGCTATGCCTGTCTGACACACATAAGCCCTAAACCAGAAGTGAGGCAAATAACGATAAAATCTGGCATTTCAAACATGAATTAATGGATCACTGTAGAACCCCATTTAATGAGGGATTATAAACCATGAGTTACTGCTCAACTCCATTACATACAGCTGCAGTGTAATGAAAGTCATTGTGTGGCTGGTAGTTAAGATTTGAGCCTTAATGGCTAGAAATGATGGCCTTGGTCTTTTTTTAGGTGTAATAGCTGCTTTATATTAAATAGCATTGTCAAAAAAAAAGATAAAATAGGAGGCAAGAAACAGGCAGCATCACATGGCAAGTTTCTTGCATCCCCAGGGGTCGGCAGGTCTGCAGCCTGACAGGCAGCACAGCCTCTCTTGTGCTGCCCCAGCAGTTCCCAGAGAGGCACCAGAGACCTTAATCTGGTAAGAGCCAACACAGTGACACCTTCATCCATCCCCCTCTGCATGTACAGGTGCTGAGAGATGAAGCTGGGAAGTCATAATAAAAGGGTCAATCTTTGACCCCAAAACAGTCTTAATATACACTAACAAACCAGTCCTAGAATCACAGAGCCACTGTTGCCTTTCTTGCTGTCTCTACCTCACTTTTTTCATGAAAACATCCCAAATACTCTTTGTCTCTCCTGTTTCTTTAGGCTGGCAAGGAGTGGATTGCTCTATTCCATGTTCAAGTGGAAGTTGGGGTCTGAACTGTAACCAGACGTGTTCCTGCACCAACGGAGCTGCCTGCAGGCCAGCAGACGGCTTCTGCCTCTGCTCCCCGGGATGGCAGGGGGAGTTCTGTGAGCAGCCCTGCCCTGTGAGTACCACTGGGGCAGTTCTGTGCCCAGCCCTGCCCTAGGAGTACCACAGGGGTGCTCTTGCACCCCCTTTAAACCACAGCCCTGCTGAACACAGAGTAGGGCAGCATCTCATTTTGCCTGGCAATGTCTGAAGGAAATCATGTGTAAATAACAAATTGGGGTTCTAGCAGCTGAGTGGATGTATTATACTTTGCATTATATTTTATCAGAGCTGTTGCTGTGTTATCTGCATTTTCTTGAGCATCATTTTTTAAAGTGATTCTTCATTTGGTTCTGTATAGAAACATTAGGCACTGAGTTTTTATCTTCTCTGTATGTTAATTTAAAAGATGCGACTCAGCATTAAGAGGGACATGATAGATGCTTTTGCACATTTCAGAACAAAAAACTGATTACTGAGAGGCTTTTTTTTATTTATATTTTTGAAGGATGGAACATATGGTCTTAATTGCAGCGAGCGTTGTGACTGTAACCACGCCGATGGGTGTGACCCTGTCACTGGGTACTGCTGCTGCCTCGCAGGCTGGACAGGTAAAATTAAGAATTACCTTGGTAAACCTTGGAGGTTTCTTGATTTGTTGATTTTGGGGGGGTTGTTGAGTTGTTTTGCTTTGCTGTTGCATCGTTTATAGCACTGGACTTGTGACTGCAACCTTTTAAATAATAGATTGAGACAAGATCAGCTGAACTCGCCCATATTTGAATCACTGGTGATGGTGACGATAATTGGCATTCATTAAATTTGTATTCAGATGAGTTGAAGATGGCTCCAAACCTGGAGCCAGATGTTAGCCTTCTGGAAAAGCATCCTCAGGAGGAATGCAGATCAGCTGGAAATCCTGCAGAGTTTTTCTCCTTGAACAGCCCTTTCCATGGGGTGCAGCTGTGGGCCGGCAGATCCCGGGAACATCATACCTGGGATGCAGATGGGGCTTTTCTGAATGCTGAGAGTCGATACAGCTGCTCCATCCTACAAAACTCAGGTTTTTCCCCATTTTCCTATGCTTCTTGTCACACAGAAGGGCAGTTACAGGGAGCAGATCAGTGCTGCTGTGACAGAGCTCTCGTGGTGACACAGCGGCAGAGAGGAAAATTCCGTGAAGTCGGAGAGTCCAGGCTGGAGATCTCAGTGCAATTAGACCTGCACTTGACTCCACACTGATGGTCTCTTTGCCAGCCCTTGACAGCTGACACAACAGCAGTGGGGGGCACGTTATTGACCCAACCAGTATTTCACACTTTGCTGCCTAAAATGCTGGTTAATGTCCCTCCGCTCTCTGTCAAGGCCCTGGGGGGAGATAAAGTTCTGTTCTTGCCCATAACTGCAGAACCACCAGTGGCACTGACAGTCAAATTGCATTTATATTAACAGCGAGTCATTTGGAAAATTTAATTGTTTTTCAAACAAGCACCAAGCTGAAGGAATGTGTGGAGCAAGGCAGGCTGCTCAGGCAGCCAGGGTTTGGGATCCTGTCACCTTTCCCCTTCGTTTATGCCTCAAAGCAATGCATGCCTTCTGTTTCTGGTGGAGAGGACACACACTCAGCTCCCAGCAGCATGAAGCAAAAGCAGTGAAATTATGCCCAGAACATACAATGGAAATAATCTTTTAAGAAGTAAATAAAATTGTAAAAATAGGACGTTCTGCACATTGCTTACAACCAAGCTACTTTTTAAGGATACTGGGCCTGCACTGAAAAGGGCATTTTTCCTCCAAGAAAATCCATTTTATAATCTCACTAGTATCCCCTCCTCCATCCCCTTGCCTTCCTCGCTGGCTGGAGTGCATTCATCTCTCTTTGCCATCAATATATCCATCTATCAGGCTTTACAACTCTCCTGTGCATTATTGATGATCAGCAGAGAAACAGCTGGTGGGCTTTTCCTGTAGCCATTGTGAGTTTCTTCAAGGGAGAAAATGGTTTTTAGAAGTACAATAAATTGAAGAGAGATATTTATACACACTTATTCTTAAAGTTTATTACACATCCTTCTGGAGGTAGCATTCCAGAGGAAACTGCAGGAAATGAACTTTGCAGGCTGTGCAGACTGAAAGGGTGGCTTTTTCTCGAAGGCATTTGCAACAAATACTTTGTGCTTACTCCCATGCACAGCTGTAAATGAACTTCACCTGCAGATACTAATTACTCTAAGTAAAGGTAAAAGTAATTTCTGATGTCCTTCTTCTTTTAATTTCCATATTGGGCAAGATAAATGTGTATTACCTTGCAGGGGATTAGCTGCAGCCTAAGCACTTTATCCTTCAACGTGCCCCTGCAGTTCTGGAACTCCTTCTTCAGGATCACATTTCAGGGAGGAAAATATTATGTTCATATCAAAGACCAAGTTGGAGTTGAGACGTTGACAGGGCCGTGTAAGGTGGAAATGTTGATAGACAGAGCCAACATGTGTTTTGTCAATTCTCCTTCCAATGTTTTTTCCACTTGGCTTAGCACCAGACACAAGGATACATTCTGCTCATACTAGTTTGAAAGTATGTAATTTAAGAAACTCTTTAGCTAGATAATTATATTTTCATATTAAGGAGTGTGGCATCAGTGAAAGATTAATCTTATCTGCAGTTGTTGTGAACTGGGCCATGATGTGTATTGCAGTGCATTTTATAAATATGAGGTGATAAATAATTCAGGCTGAAATTTTTGCATTCTGGATTTGGTACTAATTAGGCATGGCCTGAAAAAGATCAGAAAAGTTCAGGATCATGGAACATCTGAAGGTTTTCCTGCCCACTCACACCAGACACAGAATTCACGTGGCTTTCTGATCCTAATAGCCACAAAACTTCATCTGAAACCAGCATATTCTGTGTGTTCATCCCAGACGTGGGACTCCCTCTTGATGTCGGTGTTTTATGTAAAGATCAAGGGGAAGATTGAACCCATTTTCTTTAAAGAGGTTTCAAGATGTTCCTCATATAAACCTTCAGGGACTGATGGATGGTAAGGGAATGGAGGAGGACTGGGAGAGGAAGGAAGGAGGCCTGTCAAGAGGAGCACACAATGTAAGTTAATAGCAGTCTGCCATCCTTTTATGATGTCATGACTGCCACCCATCAAGACTCTTATTGAGGACAGTGACCTTCTGTGGGTACCAGCTGGGGAAGGTAATTTTCAGGAGCTGAGTGTACCTGGCAGATGGGAAGATGATGAAGAGATTCCCACATATCAGCCAGGAGATCACAAAGCTGTGCAAAGGCAGCTGGATGCATAAATAAGCACACTGGCAACAGGCTGCTCCGAGACGTGCATATTCCCTTTCCATTGAGTTCCGTAGGGAATTGCATGTGTGCAGCCAAAGGCAGGAGTTAGATCAGATCTAGAGATGATTGAACCCTGGTGCTATTGCTGAAAATTACTCAGCCAAGCACACAGGCACATGGAATCACAAATGCCTTCAGAGGAAGCAGAACGAGCAGGACATTTGTGCTTAAAAGTCAAAAAACACATTGGATAAAGGCTCTCATGTGGTGCAAAGTGAAACTTGTTCAAATGTTGGCCAAAGTCAGATCTGTGACCTGATGCACAGGTGAGTTCCCTCCACATGAGGGAAATGTGGGATGCAGTAACACCAAGGGCTCAGCCTTGCACTGGATGGAGTTCTCCAGCTTGCACCAGCACTGCATCCACATAACCTCACCTGTACAAATAGTACCCTGGAAATGCAAAGGAGAGATGATCATATCTACTGCTGATTCAAAAAGGAAAAGTGTAGCCCTCAAAGGATCAAGTTTTGACTGATCAGACTGTTTTCTAAGGATTAATAAGGGTCTCTGGCTCCTGCTCTGCTGTGCATTTTACACACAGACACTGCTGTGCTTGCAGCTCTGTGTGTGTGTGTGTGCACAGGTACCTCAGAGCTCCCAACATACCAGTCATTTGTGGAAGAGGTGTTATGTTGTGTACATTTAGGTTAGAATGAAAATGCTTGAAGTTGGAGTGCTTGGCTGCTAATTGCATTTGGTTAATTAGGGATCCTGCACACACGGAATCCGTGGAGGGAATGGAAGCACAGAAACGCCCTGTGGTGGAGCAGCTCCTGGAAGCCCTTTGCAAACAAACAGGTTGCTGCCCATCAGGCAGCAGTCTCATCTTTCCCAGGTGCAGCCTCCTCTCCTGGGTGCTCAGTGACAATGTTAAGGTCATAAATATCAATTAGCCTCCTCTTACTTAATAAACAACCTGAAGCTGGACAGAAAAGGACCAGCTGCCCTGGTGGCCTTGTGGGGAGAGCAAGGAGGACATGGATGACAAAGTTCCTGTGGTGGGTGCAAAGCTGGTGGCCCTGGAGGTGACAGCTCCAGCCAAGCCATGTGGGGTTTGCAGGATGAGCTGCAAACCCCCTCGGGCTGGTCCTCCCTCCTCGGGGGGTAGGGGGGAGCTGCTGGTAGCGTGTTTTGTGCCAGAAACAGCTTTCTCAGGTACCAGCTGGTTAAAACCACGTAGCCTTCAGCTGGTTCACTCAGTACAAACCTCAGTAATTAACTTAGTCATGGCTGCTGGCCTGGCTTTTAATTTCTGGAGGTGTTTCCTTTGTGCTTGACCCGAGGCAGGTGAGGGCTCTCTGGGAGGCCAGACCCAGCCGGTGCCCGTCCTGCCTCCAAGACCCGGGTCCATCCTCTTCCCAGTCAGCCATCCCGCTCCCAGACAGCTTACAGAAGGAAAGCCACAGGCCTGGCTGCTCTTCACACCGAGCTCTGCTCCTCCCTCTGATGAGTCTTCAGGTTAATTGGGGCAAGTGTGTCTTTTGTAACCTTTCAGCTGTTACAGGGGGATTAAATAACAAGCGATCTGCAGGGGGACGTGTTCGTGCCTCTAAATGTTAAGGTCAGTTAAAATCCTGTTTATCTGAATTCCTTTAATCTGAAATGCTGTCTTATCTGCAGCTTGTTCTGCCTCTCCCTTTTTGTCTGGCGCTCTGGTTTTGCAGATGCTATCTCAGTTATCCACTGAGCTGGTTAATCAGAGGCTTCTCTCAATAGGCAAAGCCAAAGTTTATTCAGTTTATTTTAAATCCCAAAGATGTATGGGGAAAACGGAGTGCTGCTGTGAGATGGAAAACATAAAAGGGTGCATCCCATAGTTAATTATAAAAGAAGCCCTCATAGATTTTCCTTAATTAATCAGGATGGCAAACACAGGTATGGAAATGATCTGTGCTGAGGAACAAACATCTTGTTATTGCCTTGGTGCTTTTCACCTTCAGGCTTCATTCCTGTCTCATAAGAGCAGCCTCCCCCTTTGCTGTTACATCCAGGAAATCAAAATACATATTTCCCTGTCCTTTACAACCTCGATAACTTCCATACATTGCCAGCAACATAAACTCTAATTGTCCCTTATCGTGTCCAGGTCTGCAGCCCAGGGGCTGGGGGAGTCTGGAGTTGTAGGATTTCCACGTGTGGTGGTGTGAGGGAGTTAATGGGGTCACCAGTGTCACTGGTCACAGGTCAGGTGAGCTCTGAGGGAGGATGTGGCTGTGAGCATTTGCAGGCTGCCAGTGACATCTGCACT